TTCACTCACAATGTACACTTATGAGAAACTCATGATATATAACTAAACTAAATTCTGTAATTTCTAATGAAGAAATACATGACAAAATAATCTATTATTTAACACATAAGAGACTCATACACTAACTTTAGCTTATATAACATCCTTCGATAATAAACTTCAGGAAAAAAACAGATCACAAAATTTACAAAGAACAATTTCAACTTATTAACACATTATGAGAGGCTGTTCTGACCAGTAATGTTAAGAATTAGTTAAATATTTAAGCAATACAACAATGCAAAAATTACAATTTTTGTAATTTAATTACATTAAATAAAGAGCAGGACCATCTAATAAACAGGAAAAAGGCACTACTAGTTCTAAAATTCGCTTGCAGAAGCCAGCACTATCTAGGAAACACGAAATTGGTATTTTAAAAACAAAATATTAGAATATATTAGAAATATTAGAACATAAAGAAAATATCAGAACATATAAAAAATAGTAGAACTATAAATTTCAGCTTTGCCGAGAAGTGCTGCACTCTGTTGACAAATACTAGAACTATTAATTTTAGCTTTGCTGGGAAGTGCTGCGCTCTGTTAGCTATTACTAAAACTATTATCTCAACTTAAGTTTAAAAATTCATAATAACAGCAATAATAATATAACTGTTACAAGGTGCTTTAGTGAAGAAGAAAATATAACAAAATGTTATATTTTATTTTTGAAAATTGTTTTAATAACCTTAACAAATTGATTGTCTTGTCATTAACTGCTTTTATACTTCAGAAAATTCTGTGTTTTAGAACAAAAAGAAAAAAAAAGTTAAATGATTGTGTTACAGAACTAGAAACTCAGAAAAATTCATTTTTTTTTTGTAAAAAAAAATAACTGCCAAGAGATTAATAATAATTAAAAAAAAATTTCACTTTGAATGTTGTTTTGGATCTAGAAATGTGTTCTCGCAGATGCTTATGCCTTTTTATGAAATGTGACAATACTTATATAAGTATATGAGAGTGTTAACATCATATATATTATAAACAGTATTTTGTTTTCCTTTATTCTTTAATTCACAACTGAGTGTTCGCTGACAACCAGTGAGTGTGACAAAAATGTTTTGAATTTAAATAATGAACAGGAAATGTTTATTATCTATTTTAATATAAGTTTTGCTTGTCTAACAAATCAAACATTTATAAAATTTATCTCAAATTAAACTGTTCAAATTATACGATTTTTAAGAAACAAAGAAATTTTCTAAAGCTTTATTATTGATTATTAATGGAGTAATTAACATTGAGAAAGACTTTATTCAAAGAGGAAATTATTTCTTTCATTAATAAAAATAACAATTTTTAATGCCTCATTCATAATTATTATCAAATATATAAATGGCCATTAGAGCTAATTAAGTATCCTTGAAAATATCTCTTATAATATGTATTGTACACTACCATTTATTTAATAGTAAAGTTAAGGAAATGTTACAGAGAGTCTCGATGTTATAAAATTATTTTAAATACTTTTCACTAATTTATCACACAACAATGGCCTCAATTAATAGTTTACCTTAGTTAAATTAAAATTGTTTGGTTTGTGATTTAGTAGGGGTGAATGTGAATATATTTATAATTTGGTTACAGGAATTGAAATTTGTGATCTGTTTCATATTTCAACAAACTGTGTGAAATACAAGTATAAATTTTATATGTGTGAATAATAATCAATTAAATTTTGGATTTGTGTAAGCGATAAAATATTTATTCACCTACTTCCTTAATTAAGAATTTAGTAGATTAAGCATCACTCTATAATAGTTTTTACCTGAAAAACATTAAATCTAATGTAGACACAATCTGACAGACATTGCATTGGAAAATGAATCTATTTTGTATTACTTATAAATAATTGTAAGTAGTTTAAGCTCGATTTTTAATTGAAATCGAAATTTTGTTTTTATTAATAAATGAAGATATTTGAATCATGATTTACTTTTTATTAATTTAATTTATTTTTCTTATATGTTTTCCTTCAAATTTATAATAGTTATGGTCAAATTGTGACCACTGGGCGAACACCAGTTTTTAATAAATGTTTCTCTTCTAATGACTCATTATTTAGAAATTAAATAATTTTTTTATAATCAAAAGTTGACTTCTTTATAAGAAACAATAAAATAATGACACTTTATTTTACACACAGTAGCGGGCAACTAAGATATCCAAGGATAAATCCTACCTGGTATATACAAAAAAAAATTATACTTTGTTAACTTTCAGATAAATTTTATTTAAAGTAAGCAAGAAAAGAAGTTTACCAGTATTCAACATTTTTACAAAGTACAAGAAATTCGACCTAGCTTAATGGTTTTGCGTAAATTCATAGTTTAAGAGAAATATTGAAAAAACGGAATATTTTACATTGCTTTTGTTATATTTATTTATCTATTGTTTAAATTTATGAAGAAAATCCAAGGGAACCATTACATTTTAGGAAAACTGTAATGCAGAAAAATACCTGGCACTAGTTTGTAGACAGTCGATCGTTTGCTTAGATATCCATTATATATTTTTTTAAATAGATGTAGTGTCTGACTGATGTACCAATATATTATGGGCATTACGTTACAGTTTATCCCATAATTGCATATTTATATATTTATGTAAGTGCAATTATGGGATAAACTATAACATGGTGCCCATAATATACATGGTACATCAATCAGACACTGCATCCATTTAAAAAAATATATAATAGATATCTAAAAAGTACTTCAATGGAAAATTTTGAAGGGGTAGCCAGTAATAATTTGCCCCAAAAGGAGGGACTAGGTTTTTTAAGTTGTTGAAATACTAACAATTAACATGTTAATCAGTGTTTCAGAATTTTTTTCTTTCTGTTTGCAAGAGAAAGATTGCAGGACATGACTACCACTAGCAACATATATATTGTTCTGATTTTGTTTAAAAATGAATTGAATTAAAAGTATTGAATTATTATTTGTTATTATGAATTTAATGGATACTGAGGGCTTAATTGGTTCATGAACTGTGAATTCACCACTATGACACTATGAATATTTAAAAAAATATATAATGGATATCTAATAAGTAATTCAATGGCAAATTTTTAGAGAGTAGCCAGTAATAATTTGCCCCAAAAGAAGAGACTCAGTTTTTCAAATTTAATTTCTTTCAAGTCAAAGTTATCCTTTTTTCATAATTAGTTACTTTAAAATGTTGAAATACTGGCAATCAACATGTTAAGAAATGTTTTGTTTATATTTATTGCTATTTTATTTTTCTATGTTGAAAGGGGGGTCAAACATTGCTCCTCCCTTTTGATTGTATCCATGTTATATCTGTTGAATCCATAACTGCAATGACCAAACAATCCGTTCAGCTACAAAGCATATGCCCATTCCATTGAAAATAGTTTATTGATGTATATTAGATGTAATAAAAGATCCATCGATCAATTATTATATCCCTATAATAGATTTACTCTTGTAACATTAAAAAAAAGTATCAACCACATTAAATTTGTCTAACAATTGATAATTTATATATATGTATAAAAAAAAAAAAAAGACAACTAAAGAAAAGTTGGAAATATGGAAATTGAAACAAACGAATAATAATGATTTATATATAAATAAAATTATTTATTTTGTACAGATACACTCTAATATTGAGATTTATGATATATTTATATAAATAAAATAATAATATAATAATAATACAAAGAGAAAAAATTACATACATACATAAATTAGAGCTTGCATTATACTCTTGGCCAAAGGCCATCAGAGGAATAGCAAAACCACATTCAATTCCATTATTTCAAACAATATTGAACCATTATTTAAGTTAACATTAATCATAAATTCATGCTGTTTTTACACTCTCAAAATATTACTTAAATAAACATTGATTAATTATACTTCTTATTTTTATACTTGTAAAAAAGTAATATAAATATATTAAGACATCTAACAATAGGCACAATAGTAATAATAGCCAATACTGAATATAGTAAAATCAACATAAAGAAAAATTTAATTAAATATATGTAAATACATTATATATTTTGTTAATATGTATTTCTAAACATTTTATATAAATAATTTAAATTAAAAAGAAATGTATAAAATCAATAATAAATTGTAATCAACCATTGTAATAAAAAAATTGTAATTAATAATAATAATCAACCATTTAATTCCTTAAATTAACTGAAATCTATACATCCATGCTTCTTTACAGTATCGAATCAGACCAATCCAATTTTTTGTATGTAAATGTACTTTAGTATCTGTATTATTTAAATAACTTTTTGCAAACTGTCTTATCCTAAAATCTCTTAATACAAGACAAATAGCCAAAAAATTAACTAAAGCCTCATTTTTTTTCATATTTCAAAGCTTACTGAGCCCATTAGCATGTTCAACATAGTTATGTTTATATAGGATCATTGTAATTTAATGAACAGATGAAAAATAAATTTTAAAAAATGATTAAAACATTAGTAACTGAAACAAGTTTTAAAAAATCAGTCTTATATAATAATTTAAAAAAATATTTACAGCAGTAATTTTTTATTCTCCAGTTCGTTTTTAAATTTTTTTAATAAAAATTAATAAAAACGAAACCTGAAATAAATTGATGTAATAAACTAAACTACAACAAAGAAATTTTTTTATCATTCAAGAGGATCTCTTGAATATTCTCATATAAAATTCTTGCATAAAATATGGAAACATTTTTACTTGGAATGGCTTAATTAATCATTGAATAAACCTACACCTCTTTGACATGGCATAAGTACAACTTCACAAAAAATCATAAATGTAATCAAAGTTTGAGTTCATTGTAATTCACAGTTAAAATATTAAAAATCACTATTTACAGACGTATTCCATTAGTCATCTACTTGATTACTGGATTGAAAATCACATAAATTCAACATCAAGGAATACTTTATATGTAGTCTTGTAGTAATTCAGTTCTTCTTTATCCTCTGCCATAAGGTGATTTATAATTAGTTGTCAGGTAGAATATTCCCCTTGTACTGAAAATGATTTTATATAGATATTTTCGAATGTATCAAGTATAAACAAATTTTTAAAAAATGCTTAAATAAATAGATTAAAACAAAATGTATACATGAATCTATATAGCTTATAATGCTATCTCGACACATCTAATAACATAACAATAGATTTTATAAAGATGATGGAAAGAAAATGAATTTAAAATATACAGTTATATTAAAAAGAAACATGAATATGAAGGATTTTATAATTATGTTTTATCATTCTTGTATCTATTGATATGGCATAATGGAACATTTTTAAATGTTTTTGCGGTGCAAACTTTTTTGCCAAATCCTGGAAGTATAAGCATAACATTCTACTTAGATCAAAGATTTCTCCTATGGTCACCGGCAGATCTATAGGAGAGGGGAGAGAGGGATCTCAATCTGAAGCTTTCCTCCAAAATGGAAAAATATTTTTTTTTTTCATTGGTATATATATATATATAATATATATATATATATATATATATATATATATATATATATATATACCAATGAAAAAAAATATATTTTTCCTAAAGCTATATATATATATATATATATATATATATATTTATTTATTTATTTATTTATTTATTTGGAAGACCCAAGCAAAATAATTAAACAATCACATTTTATTCTCTTCTATTTAAAAAAAAAATCTTCAAAATTAAATTCTGAGATTCTGCCACTTCATATGATAAGTGTGGAATTCTAAGTTCATTGATGCTGTTAGCAAATACAGAAATGGAATAAGAACACTCCTAGAGGAGCTTGGATAAAAACAAGAAAATGTTTTCTCGCTTTGTCCAAATCAGAGGCAATGGATAGATAGAGTAAATGCACCACTAGCTGACATGCTTAATTTCTAAGAACTTTGAAATGTAAAAACTTAGATATAGATTTTATTATATTTCATTCATGGATTCATCTTAAAGAGCTTTTTCTCATCTTACCAAAACATATTTAAAATCCATGAAACATTCATCTAAATTTTAAAAAAATTAAAAATTATGAGAATAGTTTTGTTTTACCAGAAGCTGACACTGTTTGATTTGGAATATTCCTATCATAGATGACAAGAATGACAACAAAGATGTAATTAATTAAAATTTCATATTATTCATTAGAAGATTAACAAAAATTATCTTTAACTTCTGGCATTTCCCGACTTAAATTTATCAATAAATACTGGTCCCTGTCAAGAACCTATTTTCGGCAATAGGAAAACCTATTTTAGTTTTAAATTTAATCTAAATCATTTAATCTAAATTTTTTTTTAACCAGACAGTAGTGAATGGTCCCATTTTTAAGACCCGTTATATTCAGTATATCTCTTTGAATTTATGAGAATACAGATCTGTCAACTACTGACAAAAGTCCCCATTATAAGGCTACAGTAGCTGAAACCCATTTAATATTCAATTCCTTCATCAAGTTAAAAATAGATAAAAAATAATTTAAAACACTCCAAAAAAACAATCAAACTAACATTTTGAGATAAATAAATAGTAGTTAAAGAGAAAAAGGCAAACCTAAGATATTGTGCCGTTACTGACAGATGGTTGTTCCTGGGACACTAAGAGACCTTTTTAATTTGCCTCTCATTATTTTGGTTGCGATTTCCGGCAAGATTTAAGCAAAGCAGAAAAATATACAAGGAGATAATATAAAATCCAAAAATGTATGAAATAGAGGTCTAGGAGTTCGTGAAATTTCCATTTTTCGAGGAGGATATCGGCTATTGGTGCTTTTGCCCTAATGGATTGGGGAATAAATTTAACAAGTGAGCCTACCAGTGCTTTTTTCTAAAACATTCATTCATTCATGTATGGCACAACATCCCGTCACCGAGACTGGGCCTCCTCCAAGAGCCTCCGCCAGTTGGCTCTGTCTTCTGCTGCAGCTCTCCAGTTCCGCACACCAAGCAGGGTTCTCGCATCATAGGCCACGTTGTCCAACCATCTCGTCCTCGGCCTTCCTACCCGTCTTACGAGGTGCAGCTCCTCCATCATTATTTTTTTTGGTATTTCAAGGGTGCTCATTCTGGCCACATGCCCTGCCCACCTTAGTCTGGCCAGTTTAATATACGTGACTACGTCGATGTCTGCATAGAGAGAACTGAGCTCCCTATTTTTTCTTTTCCTCCAGACATCACCCTCCTTTACTGGACCATAAATCCTTCTGAGGACTCCTCGCTCAAAGACACTCAGCTTCATCTCATCCCTTTTGGTCATCGTCCAAGCCTCTGAGCCATATGTCAAAACAGGCCGAACAAGGGTCTTGTATATGATCAACTTGGTCTTCTTTGAGAGGTACCTACTTCTTAAGTGTCGGCCAAGTCCAAAGACACATCTATTGGCAGCCGTGATCCTTCTTTGTATTTCTTGAGCCATGTCATTCTTGCTATTGATTTCAGACCCAAGGTATATAAAACTTTTCACTCTCTCAAACTTAAAAGAACCTACCTCAAATGGAGAGTTCAGATCAACCTCACCGCCAACTCTCATATACTTAGTTTTCCTCTCGTTGACTTCTAGACCAAGTGGTCTTGCAGCTGCTTCAAGGCTTATAAACGCTTCTCTGAGAGCCCGTTCAGACCTACCTACTATGTCAATATCATCAGCAAAACCAAGAAGCTGTGTCAGGCGATTGAAGATTATATCTTTGGTCTGAATACCGGAGTCTCTTACAGCTTTCTCCTCTGCCAAATTGAACAATAGACAGGCGAGGGCATCCCCTTGCCTAACCCCACTGCTCACTTTAAACTCTTCGGAGTCGTCAGAACCGACGCGTATTCTGCATCTCGAGCTGTCCATGGTCATCTTGATTAGGCGTACGAGCTTCTGAGGGATGCTTAGCTCCTCCAAGGCACAGTATAGTTGCGTTCTATCAACGCTGTCGTATGCTGCTTTAAAGTCCAGGAATAAATGGTGGGTGACTACCTTACGCTCCATAGTCTTTTCTAGGATCATCCTCAGAGAGAACAGTTGATCAGTCGTTGAGCGTCCTCTTCGAAATCCAGCCTGATATTTCCCCAGTTCCTTTTCAGAATACGGGAGGATCCTCTCAAAAAGAATGTTAGAGAGCAGCTTATAAGCACACGAAAGGAGTGAGATTCCTCGATAGTTAGCGCATTCTGTTTGATCTCCTTTCTTATGTATTGGGCAGATAATGGCTGTTGCCCATTCCGTAGGCATAGCTTCCTTCTCCCAGATGGTCAGCATTAAATCATGCAGAGCTTTCTTGAGTTCTTCACCTCCACATTTCAACAGCTCTGACTGGATTCCGTCCGGGCCTGGCGCCTTTCCATTTTTCAATTTCCTCAGGGCGTTTTCCATTTCCTCCTCATCCGGGGGTTCAATAGAATTCAGGGAGTCTTCCTTCATTACACCTACTTCTCCAGACACCGTTCCTCTGTTTAATGCGCCTTTGAAATGTTGTACCCATCTCCTTAGTACGTCATCTTTGTGGCTTAAAAGAGTGCCATTTGTGTCTTTGCATGCCGTCACTCTGGGCCTAAAAGCTGCCCTACCCTCGTTTATTCTCTGAAAGAACAGGCGACTTTCATTTTGGCCTCGCAATGCCTCTGTGTCCTCCATGTTCTTATTTTCCCAAGCTCTTCTCTTCGCGTCTTTTTCTTCTATATGTTTCTTGGGAGAGCCTTGTGGGACGCTGAACCTTCTTTCTGTAGGCTTCATTTTTCACTTTTACTGCTTGAAGGCACTCAGCATCAAACCATGGGGGCCTTCTAGATTTAGTCTCGTAGCCAAGAGCTTCTTCTGCTGCCTGTTTCATTGCATTGCTGCATCTCTTCCACTGTTCATCGACCATAGAGCTGTCATTAATTACTTCTTCATTAAGTTTCCTCTCCACAGCTTGTTGATACGAATATTGGTGGTCTGAGTCCTTAAGTTTAACCACATCAATCTTCTTCTTTGGTCGTTGGTAGTGGTTTTTAATCAGCGAAATTCGTGATCTGACCTCGGCAATGCTCAAATAGTGATCCGTGTCCATATTTGCACCTCTATAAGATCTTGCATTTATCATGTTGGACTTGTGACGGGCACTAATGAGTACATGGTCTATCTGTGATGCTGTTTGCCCATTTGGAGAGATCCATGTTGCTTTGTGGATATTCTTTCGAGGAAAAAGAGTTGTTCCAACAACCAGTCCGTGCAATGTAGCAAAGTTCACCATCCGTAGCCCATTATCATTACTGGTCTCATGCAAGCTGTGGGTTCCTATGGTCGGCATGAGTGCCACCTCCTTACCAACTTGTGCGTTAAAGTCACCAAGAATGATTTTAACATCATTTTTGGGGCAGCTTTCTGTCACGCGTCCAAGTTCTTCATAAAATGCTTCCTTATCCTCCTCAGGTGACACCTCTGTTGGGGCATGGCAGTTGATTAGAGAGAAATTAAAAAATTTTCCTCTAAGCCGAATGTAGCATAACCTTTGGTTAATGGGAGTAAATCGCATCACCAACTGTCGAGCTCTGCCTCTCACAACAAATCCGGTGCCGAAGATGTGATGCTTTTCATGGCAGCTATAGTAGAGTGTATGGTACTTCTTCTCCATAATTCCCTGTCCTATCCATCGGACCTCTTGGATAGCTGCTATGTCGATTCTGTATGTGTCCACTTCTGCAAGGAGCGCACGAAGTGCTCCTAGTCTATGTAATGATAAAATGTTCCAAAATCCAATTCTTAGGTCATTTAGGCGTTTCCTAGGTCTGTTACCGTAATTCAGTCCGGCTTCTTCTCTTTGAGGTTTCGTAATAAGGTACTTTAGGGGGGGTGGGTTATCAGCCCACTGCCCCCGAGTCAGGTAGAGGGGCTGCCTCCTCCGAGCATCCTGACTAGCTCCCCCATCCGGGGCGGCTACCTAGGGAAGGTGACCCTAGGGTGTGTACTGTAGGTGACCTTTGTCTGTAGTGTTTAGGTGTTGTAGTGTGCTGTCTAAAGTGTACTTGGTGTGTGAGTGTTCGTGTAAGTGTTCCCCCAACCTGGAGGGCCAGTGGCTGGTTGCGGTACAATGACCGGGCGATGGGACCGCCACCTCCCTACGCCAAAAAACAGTACAGGAATATTATACCAAAATAACCAGGGAATAGAAATATGAGTCCAACACTGATCCTCATAGCTTATTAAAAGTAATTTCATACAATACTTTTTACTTATCTAACATGATAAATCTTATTTTAATTCAATGTAAAAATTGTGCCATGTTCAAACATAGCTGTAAATTGTGTAATTGACAAATTATATACCAGTTAATTTAAGAATTATTTATAAAAAGTTAAATCAATATTTAGGAGTCAAAAACTATTTCTTGGTTTCATGTAGTTAGATCTTAATTAAAACCATTAAAATCATATATACATAGTTAGATCATATAATTAGCCTCATATCAAAGATGTACATATTTCATATTTAAAAAGTTCAGAAAAAGCCTAATTTTGTGAATTAGCTTTAATTTAAGTCAAATATAATGGTTTATTTATATTATTCAACTTCATTATTCTTAAATAAAATCATCAGAAACAGTGTGAGTTGAACTTTAAAACAAAATTGACTTTTTGTCCTTTCTGACTCTGAAAATAACAGTACGTCTTTGATATGAAGCCACTCATATGTACCATATCATTATATGTCATCATATATTGTATAAAAAATATATATCACCATATCACGTATAAAATTATAAGCTTCATATCATGTAGTCAGCTTAAAACCATTAAAATAATATAGTTATATTAATTAAAACCATGTCATTAGTTCAATTCACAATTAAATAATTAATTAAGGAAACAATTTAGTGGTTGAACATGATCATGGCCTGATCTCCTCCCTGTACAACCATTGGCCTTGAAATAGTACTTTCTTACTAAGTACTGAAACCAAGATCCTCTGTGGATTGTAGTGGTACATTATCTTGTATTATTTTTTTTTTTTTGTGTAGTTAGATACAGTAAGAATCATAAAGAATTCTAAGTATTTTTTTTCCTGATATGAAATATTATTGCAATTTTTTATTGGCTAAATAATACACCAGTTTTATTTCCAATGGTATTTTGGTTTATTATTTTCAATAATGAACCATTGTAATCGACCGAAAAATTCAAAAACTTAGTCCCTCTCAAAATTTGAGGTTTTATGTTTCATGTTCAGATTATTTAAAATTTTTACAAAAATTCCTAAAAAATTCGTTAAAATCAGACAATTTGGAGCAAATATATGGTCTCTAGATATTTTTTATATGTTCTACTGTAAATGTTTTATTCTTTATCCAGATTTTTGATTTTTGAAAGTGTTACTAAAGTAATGCTATTTATTTTAGAAAAGTAATGATAGAATAAAAAATTTTCAGGCAAATAGCAGGACTGAAATAATCACCTTTTATTTTTTTTTCTTTGTTACTAGGAAGGTAATGTTACTTCAGATATATAATTGTTTGGAAATAATAAGCCATTGTGAAATAATTTGCAGCGTTTTTTATTTTATAACTCTATTATTAGAGGCATAAGGTTTAAAAGCTCTTAGAAAAGTAAACTTAGGATTGATAAACTGTCTAAAATATAGCAGTTATTCATTTTAAATAATAAATATTATAAAAACATGCAATTTAATAGTAAAGAAAATCCTTTCCATTTTTTTTAATTTATGAGAAGGAATTGGTCAGGAGGTGTGGTCAAATAAATACTAAATTTTAAAAATAGTATTTAACTCCTTCTCATATTATATCATGGTTAACCATCTCTACATCATTTCTAATTTATATTTAATTAATTTTAATGTACTATATACAATAAAACCACACAATCCAATCTCATTCAATTTATCAATTGAATGAGATAATTGAGTTGTTAATTAATATTATTGTAATCAAAATAAATAATAATAATAAAAGGCTTGAACCCGAAAAATCAATGCAGACACCACCAATTGTAATAAAAATTAAGTTTTTAATTCACAAGAATATTACCTTGTTGGAGTAGGGTCTCCCATGTAGGTGCCATTGTTATTGTCACAGGAACCGTTAGCATAAGACTTCCAGGAATCGCAATTGACAGCAGGAAATGCCTCAGGGTTTTCTATACTTTCGTCATAATACTTGTAAGACATACCATGGCTGCAACCTACTAACAAATATTTTAAAGTAACGTTTTTTTAAGGCATTCTCTGGGCTTTATAGAATCAGGTTATATTGGATAGATGCAAAAATAATACATGTATTCTCCCAAAGCAAAGTTTTAAAACCAATTGTGCAAACAAAGCCAATCCATAATGTGCATTTCATCTATACATAATAATCCTATAATTGTTCAAGGGTATATATTATTTAATCTAGTTTATATTATTCAACAGTGGTTTTTAAAAAGGCATTGAGCATTTTTAAAAACAAGAAAATAAACTTCTTAGAATTTTGAATGGTTTTGTATTATTTTTTGGACTATTCTCAGATTTGTTATCATTGTACAATTTTTTTTAATATTCGGAATATTATATTTTAAATTTAAAAATATTTTTTGTTTTTTTTCCAGATAAAATAACAATTTTTATTGGATTAAATAATCATTAATGTCATTCTTGACTTGAAAATGGACGAAATTGCCCGAAATGTTGTTGAATACAAAAATAAAATAAAGTTTTTGTGAAGTACAAAAGAGTTGTTAAAAGTATTCCCCAAAATAATAAAAGTGGATTAAATAATAATACTAATTCTATATTCTAATTTTTATCGAAGATTCAAACAATAAAATCGTTCGGGCTGAGGCCATCCAAAATGGAAAAAATATATTTATTTTCATTAGTCCATATTTGTTTATTTGAGTTATCAAAGCTAAATATTTAAATAGTCCCATTATATTCTCATTTTAAATTTTAATGTATGTATAACTACTGAATGTAAGCATATGTCAAGAAAAATATAAAAAAAATATTTCTAAAAGCATAATTGTAGTTTTTTTTCTTTTCCTCTCAGAGTAATTACAACAATGTAAAAAATCCCAAAATTAAATTTTGAATATAATACTGACAACTACATGAAATCCTTCAATCCCCACTCCATTTTTCTGAACCCTACTTTTGTGTTTTCAAGCACTTCAACATCTTTTTTCATGAGAAAAACATACAAAAACATATTAAAAATATTTTATTGTTATCTATTTTTATTTATTATTTTACTTTTAAGTTAATTTTTTTTCAGGAATGCAAATGTCTTTTCTGTTGAGATAAATAAGCTTATTGTACATTGGCAAGACTATATCGAATCTAATGGAAATTATTTTGACTAAAATATATTATATATTTTCAACAAAAAACATGCAGTATCTTTGTATTAACCCAAACCTAAGTGGATTGAATTTTATATTAGTTCCATAAGATAAAATCTGTAATACAAAGAATATTTAGTTTTGATAAGGAATATGAAATTAAATTTTTGACACATATTGTGTGAATGAATACTATAGCCCTAATACCAATGCCCTTCAGTGTGGCAGACTGTATTAATACTTAATAAAATTTTTAAGTAAAAAATTTTTGACAAGTTCACCGAATAAATGAAATGAGTGAAACATACTGATATTGATTGAAATCTCTTCACAAGCAGGCTGTATCGGTGTTCCTCCATTTGGATAGAAATCTGCATGACCGAGTGCGGTATAATAACCAGCAGCACCTCCTGCCGTGTGAATAACGTCCACGAATTCTGCATCTCCTGAGTCCAAGCGCGAATCCTCACCTCCTATGTACTCGAACAACGGCGAAGCTGGATCAAGTCCTGGACCAAATAAACTCGTCATATTTATCAAAGATTAATAATCTGATCATAAATGTGAAATATGCAGATGTTATCCCTGTAACTGGCATATTTGTTATGTTCCTTCTAAAACTGAAGAAGAAAAAAAATAGTAAATTGAAGAATAAGTTGATTGGGGACAAGGTCAGTAAAGACAAGCTCACAAATAAGTAAATTTACTTTAATTTGTGCTGAGACCCCAGCTTAAGTTTAGTAATAAGGCCTTCTTAAATTCAACAATTGATGAGATTCACACCATATTTCTTTCTCTTTTCTTGACCACAATCCCCAACCAACTTCTCTTTGAATTAGTTTTTCAGTCAAAGATACCTCTATTATTATTTGAAGATCAACCATTTTTATCTTTTTTTTTTTAATAAGATAGAATTCATAATCTAGGATTTCCTTCAAAGGTTTATAAAAGAGGTAGTAAACTAAAAAAAACAAAACATGTATTTCATAATACTCCTTGTAAAAGAACATTTTTTTAATATCTTGTACTAAGTACTATGAAACTCTGTCATTGGTGTGACAAGAATGATTAGAAATATTTTTTAAAGATTAGGAAATCAGCTGCTTTGTGTTTTTATATATTTATGTATTAAGCATTATAATATTGTTATATATTTATATATTGTAATGTATATTATATTTAGAGTTGTGTAATCATTTGTTGATTTTAATTACTTATAACTATTACTTGTTAATCATTGTGAATAATTCGCTGAATATATTGTTTAGTGAAAAAAAAAACAAAATAATATGCAAATAAGTATATCTTATATACTATGTAAGGAAGAAATTACTTGTATTTTCCTTGGTCGAATACAATATTTCATCATTTAACATAACAGACCAAAATATTTGTACAAATGCCTTTTCAAGGGCCTATTTCTAAACGCTGAATATTACAAAATATGGCCTCAATAATAGGATTTTCTATATTATTAAAAAATATGAAATGTAGCTACAAAAAATGCCTTTAAGAAAAATGAATTATATATGAGCGATTTTTTTTGCCTTGTAGGAAATTTAGTATTCTGTCAATTAATCATGGGTAGAATCAAGAATTAAGTTATTCACAAATAAAGTTTCTTTTTATTCATAACTTTTCTTCCTGAAATTTCGGGAGGAGGGGACTATTTTTCCCACTTGAAGAAAAGATCTTCAAAATTAGGGCTCTATCATTATATTTGAAGAAGAAATGACGAAGTTATGGCATTGTGACAAAAATACACCTTTGAGAAATAATATATATTTGTTTCCTTATTACTGAAGTTAGAGAAGCCTATATTCATCTAGGAAGTTTTTTTATTTATTTATTAAGAAATATTACAATCTGTCTCAATTAAGGAGATTTATAATAGTGTTCAGAGAGTAAATTCACACTCTATGTACAATAAACATAAACATAATAATACTAAAAGTAACTGTATATATATATATATATATATATATATATATATATATATATATATATATATATATGACTGGTTCACATGAGCTCTGCACAGATTACTCATCGTTCACAATCACATTGGTCGCACTTGTTCAGAAGTACCGAATGTATCCGGATTTTTCCCAAAGAGAACAAGGGCATCCGATCTCTTGAGTCAGTTATTAATAACTTCCCTGCCATTAAAGTACTTTCATATCCTTAACTATGTACAGTTTTACATAGTTTTTATCTTTTGAGTATGTTAATTTTTCCATTGTAAATATGTTAATAATTCTGTATGTGTTGTCAATTAAATAATATTTCCTAAAATAATATTAAATTATTATATTACTCCAGTAACGACACTACTACAAAAAATTGTCCCTTATATCAAAGAAAATCAAAAAGTTACATAAACTTAATGTGCAATCTCAAATCAGATAATATTTTCATAAAAAGCACTCCCGACCAGAAAATAGTGACTCCTTATATCGAAGAAATCGAAAAAGTTACATAAACTAGATAGACGATTGAAATTCTAAAAAAAAAAAAAGCTTGCTAAAAGAAATTTTAAATTCAATTATACCATCTTTTATTAGAGAAACTCGAATAACGAATAAAAAGGTAATAAACAACTTCAGATTATTTATTATCCAAACGATTAAAAAAAATCTTTTATGTACAGTTATAAAAGATAATATACATATTTATAGCCACTAAATGTAAGCTTGCATCAATGAAAATTTGATTCCCAAAAGCATTTTTGTTTAACAATTTTTTAAATAAATAACTCGTTAATAAGGAAGTCCTATGATGGGATCTGCGGGTTTTTCAAATATGCGTCTAGAGAAATGTGTAGTCAAGACAAATACTGACGTCATAACATTTGGTACCATTCGACTTTTTTCGGCGGTTTATGAACAAGTGTGACCGAAGTGATTGTAATTTCCGTGTAATCCGGGCGGAACTCATGTGTACTAGTACCGATTTAAATAGTTTATATCACTAGCGGATCCAGGATTTAATTTTGGGGGGGGGGCTTCAGCGCGAAAACTTTTTTTCATAAAAATAACGATAATTACTTTGGATAAACAGAAAGAAACTAACTACCTATATGAAATGGTGTTTAGGTGATTCCTTAAGTCCTTTTAAATGTAATTAAACGAACAATAATACTTTAAGGATATTTAAAAAAAAATTTCTATAAAACAGTAATATTTTACCATTTTGGGAGAGGGGGGGAGCTTCAGCCCGAAAGCCCCTTCTCCCGTAGATCCGCCCGTGGTTTATATAGAAATAGAAATAGAAAATAACTTTATTCTGGGACAAAGTCCCTTTAGAATAACAGAATAGAACATAATTAAAAGACTACATCTGACCAAAATAAAACAATAATAAAAAAAGAGAAAGTAAAGAAAATATTAGTTAAACAAGCTAAATACAAAAAAAAAAATCTATATGCAAAACACTAAATAATAAATAATAAAGATAAAAAATTTAAAACTATGTACAGTAGGAAAAATTATAATTATACACTTTTGAAAAATAAAATAATAAAAAATACATTGAGTTCTTCTTTAAAATGAGGTGTGTTTCTGCTAACAAAGGAAAGACAAAGCTGACAATATAAAATGTCAGAGTATTTAAATAATGAATAATATGAAGACTCATCATTGTCTAATTCTAGCTATAGGTACAGATTTAATTATATAAGAATAAAAACAAAATAAAAAAACAAATAATAGATGCCATCAGTGGCATTAATAGCAGGAAGATATTGTAATATCCCTAGTGAAGTTTACATTATAGAATAGTACTATCGTTTGATGATGGATGATATAATAGAAATGTATAATATCAAAAGTTAAGCAAGCATCTGACTGTTTTTGGGATAGGAATTGGAATAGGATGGTTTTGAATGTGGATATGGAGGGAGAATGCCGAATTTTGAAAGGTAGAGAATTCCAGTAATTGATAGCGCGAGCTATAAAGGAGTTTTAAAATGAAGCAGATCTGTGAGAAGGGATGTACAGGACAGAAGGTCGAGATCTTGTTGAAAGAGAATGGACTGAGGACTTGAATTGGAGAAGGTTGTAGGCGCAAGAAGGACGGTGGTTGTTGATAATTTGATAAAGGAACGTACCTAGGAAATATTGTCTTCGAAAGGAGGGGAAGAGCCACCTTAACTCAGTGTAGTGGTGAGAGACATGGGAGTACCTCGGGGCACCAATAACAAATCTTACGCAGCTATTCATTAATCTATATATTCCCCTTATCAAATAGTTTATATAAGTTATAAAACATTATGACCAACCCTATATACAGAAGTAACCTACCTGTAATCCTGGCGACTTTGCCATGGCCTTCCTTGGACAAGGTCTGCGCCGCTATCCCCATGACGTGCGAGCCCAAGCTGTGGCCGATGAGGTGGAGGCGGTCCAAGCTAACCACCCTCGCCTCCATTAATCGCTTCACCAACTTGGCTACCCCACGGCCCACTGGGGCCACGCTGTAGGTCGTGACGGGGTACAGCTTATATCCGGCCAATGTACTCCAGTCGACTGCGATCATGTTCAGTTCTCGGGTGGCCAAATACACTGTGGATAATTATGTTTATTACTACTAATCTATATATAAAACAATGTAATACATTTTTTTTTAAATAGCTTCGAACAGGTTAGAAACAATTGATATTTGACGGAAACTGAGGGAGAGGCTTATGGATTTCCAATATTATAAATAAGAGGTATGATTAAGGAAAAGTTTGCCAAAGGAAGCTGTTCTTCGTAAAAAAAAAAACATAAATTTTGTTTAGTTGAGATCTGATTTTCAATGATGCTAGCTGCAAAGATCTAGAATACAATTCAATGAAAAGTTTCTATTTATTTATTAGTTATACATATTCATGGCTCACAATAAATTTGCCATCTGCCACGGTATTCAGCAAATATGATATCAAGGAGAAGAAATGATAGCATACAAAAAAAAAGAATAGTAATAACGAAACAAAAAGAAAAAAAAAACAGTGGTAAAGCAACACATAACAACATAATAACACAAAAAAAAAGATAATACAGCAAGTTGCTCAATGCAATAAGTCTCTTGGCCAGCGCCTCAGCAGTCTTCTGGGCGGATTATATGGATTTGTAGCAGTCGATAGAGCTTGAGTAAGTGGATTGGAATTAAGAGTCAGTCTGTCATGAAAATTATTAATGCGGTCAGTGGCAGTTGCCGTGATGAAAGGAGTGTTAAGTTCAGTGTGTAACGTGAGGTTTGAAACATAAAGGGGTGCGTCTACAATTTTCCAAAGAACTTTTGACTGGAATGACTGGATGATTTTTATATTTTATTTCTTTGTTTGTTCCCCATAGTTCGATCTCATATGTCCAAAGTGATTCACAGATAATTTAGAACGTCTGTCAAGTAGCCTAGAAAGAAGTCCGTATCGCTGACTGAGTTCTTTTCTTTCTTGTTTTATGTAGTATGTCCAAGTAAGTCGTTTGTCAAAGTGGAGACCCAAATATCGTACAGTTTTTGAAGGTGGTAGAGCGATATTATTAAAGAACACTGGAGGACAAGAGTCATGTTTAAGTTTAAATGAAACTAATTGGCTCTTAGACTTAGACTCGATAAAAAGTAAAGAAAAAAGTATTGCCATCAGAGAAAAAGGTATTGCCATCATAGCTAGAGATGTGAGTGCAACTGGAGATTCCGAATTTGATAAATATTATTTTTAAAAATTCAATTCGTTTTAAACTCATTCAAATTTTATTAGAACATGTGCAAGTATTTTTCGTTATATAATGGGTACTTCATCAAAGCAGAATAAAAAACGTATTTGGCAATTTAGTGCTGATAAAATAATTAAAAATGACTGCATCATGATGACCTTACGTTATCAATAATTGCAATTGTTAAATTAAATAAACTATGCAAAATTTTATATTTTATAAATTTTACAAAATGATAATTAATCTATTGTTTTGGACTAGCAAATTAGTGCTTAGCACAGATTTACAAAAAATTATAATATATAAAAACTTAATGGTTATAATTTATTTAAATTTTAAACTTCGAAATACTTACCTTTGATTGTGTTATGCACAACGAAAGAATGTGAGCTAGATAACCAGCCGTGAACTACTATTTTAGTATCCAAATTTTTGTTGAACAGCCTTTTTAGTTGGCTTATGGAACTTTCTTCAGAAATGACCTCTCCCGATCTGTAATCCCTGAAAATATGACATATTTGTAGTTTATCTAAATCATCTATTCAGGTTTAAGCTAAGTAAATCATTGAGCAAAACAACTGCATAGCTTAATAATATTATGAAACGAATTATTTATTAATATTCCAAGAATGCTTTATGGAGGATTTGCTATGAAATAAGTAACTAGTTCATAGTAGCATGATACAACCTTAAAACTGTTATAATATAGTTTTTTTATTATCTTCATGTTTATTTTTGGGATGTTGGTTGAGCTATTTTATTTCGAGGTACAGGAGTGCCCCTCTCCCCCAAGAAACACTAAATTGATCCTGACAAAGTTCGGATGCATCAAACGAACTTTTTTATTTGATATTTTTTCTAAAATCACTCCTCAGAGTTTAATTCAATCAATATATTATTCAACAATCACCCTGTATACAATATAATATTATCAAGATAGTCTATTCAACATGCACAATTGGTAAAGCTGAATATGTTACCACAAATGTTAAAGTGACGACACCCCACTGGAAAATATCCCTTCAGCTTAACAGCTAAGCAATAAAGCACAGCCATCCCTGAACTAATCCAGTATTGGACTCGCTCAAAACATGTTTGCTTGGTGCATTAGATCCTTGATTTCTAATTCTCTCACTTGCTTAAAGTCTGTAATTATATTATTAAAAGTATAAAAACCATACCTCGATTATATATTTTATGAATATATTTCATTTACTAAAGATATCAAAGAATTTCTTTCTGTATTATCCGAAGCGCTCAAAGTATCGTAGAGCTATTCACCTCCATCTACCTTTTCAATATTTAGTTCGTACAACACTAGCTAATATTTTAATTTTTAAAACGGAAACCCGTTTTAGAAAAAAGATTAAAATTCCTACACAATATATTTCATAAAAAATAGTTCAAATTGAAGGTTTACAAAAAACAAAAATTAAGGAATTTAACTGAAGATTAATTAATATCTTCAAAACTTCCGTGAAATCAGAGTTAGGAAAAAGAAATAGTTTAAGAGTTAAAAAAAAAAAAAAAATGCACGAAATCTATCTCCTAATGGCTATTTAGAAATAATGAAATTTGGCAAAAAATAATTATGATGATATAGTCCCTAAATAAGAAGATATTTAAAAAGTAAATAAGAAGATATGAAAAAAAAAAACATTTAACTCGCCATAATTCCCCCACTCTCTCCCCGGCTCGAGAAAAAAAACATCCTGTAGCCTAAAAGGCAAGGGAGAGGAGAAAAAAAAAAAAAAAAAAAAATGGAACTGGCTGCAGCAAGTGTATTTATATATGATTTACGGTTTTTCTAATTCTACCTTTGCATGTTCTGTTTTTAAGAAAGGCGAGGAATAAAATATCTTGGGAAGAAGGGGGGATAGTTTCTTGGGGGAGGGGGCACTCCTGTAGCTGGATTTATTTCGTAGTATTTAAAAATTCATATATTATATTCAATATTCAATTATATTATAGATTACATCCTACAGCCTGTTCTATGTTTCCACTTGTCTTTTGATTTAAAAATATTCATTTCGAAAATTCATTACTCCGTCGAAATATACCTCCTCTAAAATTCAAAACCAAAACCGTAAAAATGTGCCCCCCCTTAAAATTTTAATGAAACCCCTTCAGGACACCCCTGTTAACCTCAGTAAATTGAATCACTGTTTTATCTAAGAAAATTTTGTCTACTTTACGATGGTTCCCTTAGAATTTAATTATTTTGAACAGCTTTCCTTCTTAAGGAAGGAGTATTGAAGAGTAATTCCTTCTTATTCAATAAAATCCGTAATCACCGTTAATAAAACACTAAAGTTTTCTCAACTCCTTTTCCATTTGGAATTGGCCCGTGCATCAAACGAACTTTTTTGTCGGAAAATTTTGTCTATAATCACCCTCCAGAGTTTGCCCAAAATCGAAAATGCAAGACCAAGACCAAGACTGGTAAAAAAAAAAAATAGTTTTTATAAATAAAAATTAAGACAAAATAGTTACTAGTACTTGAAAATTTTATTTACTATGTATAAAGAATTGGTATAAACATTATGCTTTTGTCTTTAACTCTTCCACTTTTTCATTCGGGCTTAGTTAGGTTATCCCTGTCTGCAAAATTACAGTAATATCTCTGTAGTAATAAGCTAATAGGTAACTGCAAGACTGTTTTGAAACTCTCGCATTTGGGTAACATTACACCCCCAGGGATACCCATCCCTCCCAAGGCCGATGGCGCATAATTTCCCCCACCCTATTCAAGATATTTTATTGCTATCTGCTTCTTAAAAACAGTGCAAACGAAACTAGAACTTAAATATTCAAAGAATATAAACAATTCCATATCCTGCGGTCTGTTCCAAGCTTCCAATTCTTTTTTTGTTTGAAACAGTTCATTTTGAAAATTCAAAACCTTGCCGAAAGTGTCCCCCTCAAAAATTGAAAACCCCGTCAAAATGTGCCCCCTCATAAATTGTAATGACACATTTTGCGCCATGAAACCCCCTTCTGGGCACCCCTGCTACGTCCGTATATTAACTAACATATCTCGCTGATTTTTATAACACTTCAAACGAATTATGGAGGGAGGTAGCTTTCAAATATAAGAGTTCTAGCTGTGGTACACTAGTTTCTAAATTAATTCCTCTTCAATAAAACTGAAATAATACAATAAAATGAAATATAATAGAAACATAAATTTACCAATTATAGAACGTGAAGGTATATTCTTCGTTAGTTAGATTCGTTGGTACATCGCCGATGTCGATTTCATTGTGCCCGTCTCGAAATTGGACTCCTTCTTCCTGAGACTCGGGATGAACGTAGGAGAAAATATGCATTTGGTCTTGTTCAACTGCCTTTCCATCTAAATATAAGAACAAATATTTATATCGTTACTGTTAATTCAAAAGATCATATGTAAAAATTGAGTTTTCTTTTAAGAAGAACAACAAAACCGATTATTTGTTAGTATAATTTCACTCTTTATTTCTTTCTGCTATTTTCCCATTTAGCAGACTACTTATAGCAGTTGCAGACTACACAATTTTTTTTTCTTACGTCCCCTGATTTCTTTGACTTCCGCCATAAGTCTTCTAGCAGAGCTGTATTTTTTTTTTTTTTTTTTTTTTTTTTTTTTTTTTTTTTCTTAATGAGCTTACACTCATTAGCTATATATATTATAATTTAAAAAGAGGAAATATTCTGATTGTTCAGCTAATATAGCTCAGATCATTCACGGTCCAAAGAAAAAAAAATTGTTTCCATTATGAGTTACCGATTTATATTGAGCTGTAAACGAATACTCCCTAGTTTTTTTTTACAATATTTTTCAACTAATATGATTTATAAACAAAAAAAATATAATTTGCCATTCATGTCCTGTTTTTAGGGGCGTTGGCATGACGACTGTTTTAATCTCTGAAGTAGATGCACTGTTCGCAATAACAAACGCATTTAAAAAAAAAAAGAAAAGAAATAATAGAGGAGAAATTGGTTGGAGTTCTCTGTCAAAATACAAATTAAAAATAAATAAATTATATTTTGGTTTATTATTTTCAATAATGAACCATTGTAATCGAGCAAAAAATTCAAAACTTAACTCTCATCAATATTTGAGGTTTTACGTTTCAAGATGCGTAGAACTCTAAATTCGAATAAAGATATTTTGTCCGTCCACCGTCCGCGAATTTTATCCGAGACTACAAGACCGATTTTTTTTTCAAATTTCTAATCCAAGTCCGAAGTCAACCCGAGGATGGTCCTCCTAACTTGACATTGCTATCCGCCCTTTTATTTCAAGATGGCGGCCGAAAAACCTATGTTTCGCATAAAAGAATTCAACTAAAGTTGGCTTCCCTCTTCCCCTCGATGCCCTTTTATCTATATAACATACTTCAGCGAAAAAAAATTACGAGTGGTCGTAAAATTTCCGCATAACTCAAAAGGTATACACTTTTTTTGTTATACTTCTTTATAACTTTACGAAATTTCCTAAGTACGAAAAAAATCGTTCAAATTCGACAATTTGGAGCAAAGGTATGGCGTTTTAAATAAATTTCGAATGTTTTACTACAAAACTTATATCCTTTGTTTCAACTGACGCAATGCTTTTTTTTTTTTTGCAAATTAATATTGATAAAAAAAAAATTTAGGCCAATAATAGGAATCATCTTTTATCTATTTTCGTTTATGTTACAGGGAAAGTAATATTACTTTTGATGTATAATTGTTTGGAAATCATAAAGAATTGTGTAATAATTCGCAGAGTTTATTTTTATTTAATTTGTGCCGACGTTTCAGACCAAGTTTCAGGACTCCATCAGGGCTAGCAAAGACAAGATAAGATATATTATAAATGCTGAGAAATGATAAATAAAAATGACATATAAATTAAAGACTTATAAAGTAACGGTTACAAAGCAGGAACTTATAAAACAGTAACAAAGTTAGAGAATTATTAAATAACAGAACAAACTTAGGAAGTTATAAAATAGAGGTAATAAAGTGATGAAGTAGCCCTGATGATGGCCTGAAACGTCGGCAAAAAATTTTTAAAAAATAAATTATTTATTTTTAATGATGTAGAGATGGTTGACCGTGATATAGTATGAGAAGGAGTTGATCGGGGTGTGCGGTCAAATAAATACTAAATTATACAAATAGTATTATTTTATTTTTGCCGACGTTTCGACCCACTTTGCAAGTCTTCATCAGGGCTACAAAAGATACAAAACATGGTGAAAATAAAATAAATGAATATAAGTAAACATAAAATAAGAAGAAATTGTCTGATAAAGAAATAAAAAGATGATATCAGAGATATAGTGTGTGACAATATAGTTAAAATATCAAGTATTATATATATATAGAAGATACAAACGAAAACGGAAAATAAGTACGAATAAACATAGGAAACAGAGGAGAAATTTTAACTTGTATGCTCCTTTGTTTTATATTTTTATTCCTACTTATTTTCCATTTTTATTTGTATCTTCTATATATATGATATTTGATATTTTAACTACATTGTCACACACTATATCTCTGATATCATCTTTTTATTTCTTTATCAGACAATTTCTTCTTATGTTATGTTTACTTATATTCATTTATTTTATTTTCACCATGTTTCGTATCTTTTCCCCGGTGAAGACCTGCAAAGTGGGCCGAAACGTCGGCAAAAATTAAATAATACTATTTCTATAATTTAGTATATATTTGACCGCACCCCCCTATCAACTCCTTCTCAAATTTATTTTTAACTTTATATTTTGATTGAAATCCCCAACTAATTGCTCTTCAATTATTTACTACAGTCAATCCGCTATAAAAAAAAACCTACAATAATAATTAAAATTAATTAAAGAAGTCCATCAGACTCACCTGCGAACGCCGAAAATAAGACCATATGAAGTACCAGGAAGAGCATTGTCCAACTTGTTAATCGGCTTAATACTACAGAGTATTGAAGAGGCACGATCACTTATATATAGCTATCGACTATCTTCTTGATAGTTGTCGCTTCTTAATCGCCATTCGATTCTTCAATAGAAGAGGAGAATGGAGGGCCGAGCGACTATCAGGACAGACCGTCTTGTATGCAAACTAAACACGTCCCCAACAGGCGGTTATCTCTGGAAGTTACAGCGCTAATAGCAAAAGATATATCCAAACGGTGAGATAGCACCGTCCCCTTCTTCGTTAACTTGTTAGCTGGCACTAACTTCTGTTTTAAACAGTTATATGTTGGACAATATGACGATAATCTACAGCGAGTTAGCGAGCTATCTACGAAATTATACCCTTCCGCAAGGAGATACATAACATTATTACCACCAATGACAGTCAATAGAGTGATTAGTTAATATGACATTTTTAATTTTGATACTGACAGTTAGTAATCTGACTTTTTAATTTTGGAGACAAGAAACTTGCGCTGGGCTCAATACGTACCAGTTATCAACCATAGAAGCAGACTTTTCGTTGCGGTTGGGAATAATGAACTCCCCTCTCTCTCCCTCTCCCTCTCCCCAAACAAAGTTTCGAAAGTTTACATTATGTATAAAAATTAAGAATAATTATTAACATAATCAATATAATTATTCTAAAACGGACAATGCAATAGATAGATAGATACATAGATAGATGGAAAAAAAATGTATTCTGGGACTAAGTCCCTTGAGAATAACAAAATTGTACAAAATAATAGAATATTCCTGGCCTAAAAGTTTGAAACAATAAATAAAATTGATAAAATTAACTAAAAAGTAAAGAAAAAGAAAAACCTTAAAATCTATATACAATACAGATAAATCTATGTACATAACATTTAAAACTATGAACAAATCAATTAAAACTACGAACAAAACTATATATAATGGTTGAACAACATAAACATACACTTTGAGAAATATATATATATATATATATATATATATATATATATATATATATATATATAGATAGATAGATGGATAGATAGATAGATAGATAGAAAGTAATCTTTATTCTGGAACGAGGTCCCTTATGAATAACAGTTGTGAACAAAAAAATAAAAACCACATCTGGCCATAAATTACATTAATCAATGTTAAAGAAAATATACAGTATCTCAGTAAAAGTATATTAAAAGAAGTAATAATAACACCATTTTGAAAAAAAAAACAAAAAAAAATTATTTAAATGGAAAAACAAAACAATATATATATATTGTTTTGTTTTTCCATTTAAATAATTTTTTTTTTTTTTGTTCACAACTGTTATTCATAAGGGACCTCGTCCCAGAATAAAGATTACTTTCTATCTATCTATCTATCTATCCATCTATCTATCTCTCTCTCTCTCTCTCTCTCTATATATATATATATATATATATATTATATATATATATGTACATACAAGTAAAGTTTTTCTATGAAACGAACTTATTCTATCTCTTTTTCGTTCTTCATTTCTCAAAGTGTATGTTTATGTTGTTCAACCATTATATATAGTTTTGTTCGTAGTTTTAATTGATTTGTTCATAGTTTTAAATGTTATGTACATAGATTTATCTGTATTGTATATAGATTTTAAGGTTTTTTTTTTCTTTACTTTTTAGTTAATTTAAAGATTTAGTTAATTTAGCTAATAAACTTAGTGTTAATATTAGCTAACTATTAACACTACATATGTATTGCGTAGCAATCATATAATCATACGATAATACTTTGTAAGATAGTACATGCATTTCCTATTTTCGACGTAGGAATTTCAATACATCTATTTTTTTTTTTTTTATTATTCAATTATAACTAACTTTACACATATTCATATATATATATATATATATATATATATATATATATATATATATTTATATATATATATATGAATATGTGTAAAGTTAGTTATAATTGAATAATAAAAAAAAAAAATAGATGTATTGAAATTCCTACGTCGAAAATAGGAAATGCATGTACTATCTTACAAAGTATTATCGTATGATTATATGATTGCTACGCAATACATATGTAGTGTTAATAGTTAGCTAATATCTGACTGTTTTTGGGACAAGAATTGGAATAGGAGGTTTTTGAATGTGGATAGATAGGGAGCATACTATATATAAAGAAAATATATCGCCAGCCACACTGCCTGTAAGAACAAACACTGAAAATTTTAAGGATAAGAAAAAAACTGCGTAATTTTTGGTCTATGAGCATTATATTTTCGGTTCAATTTTTTTTTTTTCTTTGAAGGCCCAAGACAAATATGTAATGCTCTATGTAACTTTTTTGATCGTATTTTTGCCAAATAACCTTTTAGAGCCATTACTTCTAACTCACTAGCTATTCTAGGATTTTAATTTTTTTTTTTTGGGGCGGGGGCTTCAGCCTGAAAGCTTTCGTCTCATAAAAATAACGATAATTACTTTGTAAAAAAAAAGAAAGAAATTAACTAAATTAGTGTTGTTGTCGATATTGTTGTTTCCAAGTACAATGATTTTAGAATCATATTTGGCTGCTGTTGAAAATTCAGCTGAAAAAATAAAATATCGTAAATAAATACAGCTTAGATAAAACGAACTTAGTTTTACACATCATATCATCTATGCCAGTAGCGGATCCAGAATTATATATATTTTTTTTTTTTTGGGAGAGGAGACATTTTTTTTTTTTTTTTTTGTGAAAGAACTGCCTAAACGAAGTGATAATCAAGTGATTTTTGATAGTGATAATTGATTACAGGAACAATAATACTTTAATACATTATGTATTATTTACACACATATATATATATATATATATATATATATATATATATATATATATATATATATATATTTATTTATTTTACCTCATGTTAAAAATCGGTAGGAGAGGACATATGATGATTATATCAGTTACACGTTCTCTTATGAAAAATTATACCAGGATTTGTATTTGGCTCTGTTACTCAAAGCATGCAAATGGTTTGGCCTCACTACAAAATTCTTTTTGTGCCAAATCCTATTCAATGTTATTATGTACTTTAAAATTAGCACTTTTAAGAGAGATTACAGAATCGACTGTTTAACATTGACGTTTAAAGGAAACAATAAGCCATCAGATCAAAGATCATTATTGCACTGTAAATGTATTTGAAAATGATCTTTTACTATCACGAAACTTGAATTGTGTTTCCAAATGAGTTAGGAGAGGATACGTCAAACTGTGAAGAAATGAATTCTTTAAAAAATATATATATAAAATAAATCAATGTTTTATAAATATAATTTTATAATATGAGTACAATAATAATATAACATTATTATATGGCGGTCTTTGGAACCTGGAATTAAGTTGGTTAATTTTATTTTTACAATGATTTGACTAAAACTAAAATATGCAATATTTTAAATCAATTGTCGAAACTATCTCTATATTTCGGAGTTCCATATGATTAAAATCTCTGTGTATCGAAATTTTTGTAGAAATCTCGTATGTATATCGGACAAATATTTTATAAATCGAATACGATTCTACATCCATCAAAAACTATGACAAAAAGTCATATTTAAAAATAAATAAATGAAAAGTTATAACAATTTAAGTTTAAGTTTTCTAAAGGGGGTGTGTTAATTTTAATAATTAACAGTCTGAAATTTTTATTTGGATAAAATGGAAGCAATAAAAACTAATGATTAATAATAAACATGCATATTATAATAACATTTAATATTCGTATTGAATATTATATATTAAATATAATAATAATAATAATAATATTCGTAATAATAATATTTAAAAATAATGTTTAATAATAATGTTGTTATATGTGGTGGCTTCAAGGAACATATAAGCCCTTATACTTTCAATTTTTTTATTTTACTACAGATGACGTTTCGAGCTTATTATCAAGTCGTCATCAATCATCAATCATCGTCATCAATCATTATCAAGTCGTCTACAAATAACAATTAAACAAATATAATTTACAACTCTGGACGCTCATTATAAGTGAAAACTTACCAAAAACATTGTTTTATATACTATAATGTATAATTTCATGAACTACTATTTTTAGTACACCATTGTCACAGATATTCCTCGTCACCATCTCACTTAAATTTTTGCGCATTAATTGACGCATGTTCCTACAATAAAAATTTATGATGCGACTATTTCAGAAGTTATACGATTTCTATTATTGATTATTGATTGATTGTTTTATTTAAACTGGGTGTGTATGCAGTTTAAATTAAAAAAATAGTAGTCAATAATACATAAATTTTTATTGGTTGAATTGATTGGTCTGTGTCTCATTTCTTAAAATATCTCGAAATATTATTATTACGAATATTATTATTATTATAATATTCAATACGAATATTAAATATTATTATAATATGCATCCTTATTATTAATCATTAGTTTTTATTGCTTCCATTTTGTCCCCATAAAATTTCAGACTGTTACTTATTAAAATTAACACATCCCCTTTAGAAAACTTGAACTTTTTTTTTCTCTTTAATTATTTATCCGCACCTGTCATGGTGTTGACAATCAGCAGTTGTGTTGTGATGATGAGGATAGGCATTAAAGGCATGAGGAAGGATACCCAGGAGCACCTCTTCCTGTCATTATTTTTTTTTTTGATTTAGGTGAGAAGATATCTCATTCAGCTCATCTTTAATATCCTCCTGATGGGCATGTCAGTTGTAGCCATGTCGGTTATAAATCTGTTTGTATGTCCGTGTAGTTTGAGATGAAAACGAGAGTAGAGAGTACGTATGTGTAGGTCTATAGTTGGTTGTTGTAAGTCTAAAGTTTTGTTGTCGACTGGCTACTGGCTACTAGCTACTGTCTACTGGCTACTGGCAACTGGTTACTGGTTACTGTCTACTGCCTACTGGCCACTGGCTACTGGCTACTGTCTACTCGCTACTGGCTACTGACTACTGACTAC